TAAAAGACAAACGTCTGACCCCTTTCATGTGATGTCATGTGAGTCCATGTCTGAACCGCGACCCAGCAGAGAAGACGTTTTAAAGTTGTGATAACGTGTTTGTCCTGATGAAGCCGTCAGGGAGAATATTTATAATGAGAGTTGATGAATGTGAAAGGAAATGCCTCTTTCTGAATAAAAGCCTATTCTTTGTATTCAGTGTTGTGCTCGCTTTATTTTGAAGCCCATGTGAGGAGACACTGGGTCAGCTTCTCTTTAGCTCACTGCGCTGCTTTATTTATATAATATTTATAAAGATTGAATAAAGATCAAGCAAACAGACGGCTCCTGGTGCCGCCTTGAGATATCACACACTGACTGCAGAGATCAACAGTGAGGTTCAGGAAGTAAAAATCATCTTCTCCACAGCTAATTTGATTATCAGCCGTGATGTCATAACCATCACAGGTAGACTGACCACGAGCGAGTGTGAAAAGATGGTTTATTTTCATGAAGGAGACACAAGTTCGTCTTATATAATAATAATAATAATAATAATAATAATAATAATACTGGTTTTATAAACCTTTTTTTTTTAGAATCTCAACGACGCTTTGACAAAGAAAAAAAGCAACCAAAAAACAAAACAACGAGGACAGTACAATGAAGACATCATTTAAGGGCGGGGGATGGGAGCAGGGGCACCGCCAGGAACTCCGGGCCCCGTGAAAAGATATCACATTGGGCCCCTACCACGGCCCAAACTAACCCGGAACATTTCTATGACCATCACACAAATGACCCATAAAAACTTCCACCCTGAAAATGGAAGATAAATAATCACTGTAATATTTCCTCATAGCTTAAAAATAATTTTAACTTTGTAATATTTGCACCTTTCAGACAGTTAAAGCATTTCCAGCAGCATTATTTTACTTATTAACTTGTTATAGTTAATATTCTAAAGGCTTTTATTGTCTAAAGTGATCTTATTAGTTATCTTATTGAATTAAAAATTCTACTGGCATTAATGATAAACTGTGAACATACAATAAATCTGAATTAGATTCTACCATGACTTTAAAATTAGACTGTAATAGTTCTTCCCTGTTCTGACTTCACTTTAATTCTTCTTACACGGCATTATCATTTGTCTCACCTGATGTTCAAAACATTGTTCTTTGGGCAAAAGTAGCAGTTTTGCTGCTAGCGCGACGACATTGGTATCATATGAATTGACAGTTTACAAAGAATCTGTTGATATCAAATATGTTACTGTAGCTCGCTGGGAAAGATGCTAAATATCGCTCCAAAGTGGACCCTCCCCACTGGGGCCCTGGGTAGTCAGTCTCACTTTTCCCCCCACTACGACGCCCCTGGATATTTAGCGTCTTACAACATTTTCGTCCTGAGGCAAGGAACTACATATCCCACAATCCATTGCGAATGATTCTGCTTCTTCTTAAATTAAACTTTCATCGTTGTTATCGTGTTAATACAAGCGTTTACTATGTTGTATTTTATGTTGTGGAATATAGAAACTTAATTCACTGCGGCATGAGAAGGTTATTAGCTGGCTAGATAGCACCGAGGGAATGCTACTCTTAAAATCATGCTAGTTTTTTTGAATTACCAACCCTAACTCTCACATAAAACAAACTTCAAGGACAGCCTTTTTTCACCTTCGTAATAAATCTCAAATCAGGCATATCCTGTAACAAAACAAAGCAGAAAAAGGAGTTCATGCTTTTTTTTTTTTTCCTGCTTTTCATTAAATTGTCATAATGACATTAAGAAGCTCTGATTGTGTATCATCAAAGTTTAAAGCTTGTTTACTTACTCCTCTTTGTCACCAATCATTCCCCAACTTCCATATGAATGATTTTAGATAATTAGCAGATCAAGCACACACACTCCTCTCTTCCTCTGTGTGTGTGTGTGTGTGTGTCACACAGTCTGCTGCTTGAGGACAGCAGGCCATGCTGAAGGTTGGAGGAAATAAGGAGGTGTTGGAGGACAAGAACAAGTGACTGTTGGACTTTTGAATTTCTCCATTGTTTTGGGAGCGGAGTGTGTGTGTGGTGCCAGCAGATTAATGTTTGGAGAAGTGTGTGTGTGTGTGTGTCCGGTGTGTGTGTGGAGACAGAAAGAGGCTCTTCATTCTCTCCATCTGTCGGCTGAAACACAAACACAGTCAGAGCAGCAGATGTCTGTGTGAGCAGAGTTTACTTCACACTACACAGTTTTCCACTCCTGAAAATCTTCTAGAACATGTCATGCTGGTCGTTTCTGAAAACTCCTGAAGTGTCGTGGTCACGGGGGGAGGTCTCAGGAGACAGGATGTATGGCGGACACAGTGGCCGAGTCCGACTCCGAGTATGAAGCATCTTCATAACGGGCACAAAGATCTCACTGGTGGCAGGATGTAAACATCGTCATCCCACCACTCGCCCGCTCACGGTGGATTTTCATGAATATTTCCTCAGCAATGACCATTTAATTCACAAAGTCAAACTAGAGGTCGGACCGGGTGTCATCCAAAACTGCCGACGTTGGGGGCGTGGTCTGTGTGTGGGATTCTTGTATGAAGCAGCAGTGACCTCCGTCGTCCAATCAGGCGTCTCTGCTCGTCAACATAGTGGCAGTTAAACTGAGTTTCTGAACATCTTCATGCTGGAAGGAGTTTTACTGAAGGAGAGTTTCAGTGACCTGAAACATAGTTTGTGCACTAAACAGAAAAAGCTAAGTGTTCAAAAATACCCGCCTACGTGTGGACGAGGTCTGAACCCGTGCAAACGCTCCCCTCACTGCGCTGCCGAGCAAACTGTGCGTCGGTGCTGTTAAAGTAAATTATACACCAGTACTGTGAGTGGAAAAATATCCGCCAATCTGAGGTCGAATCGTTGGCAGCAGGCGATGCTACTCAGACGTCCATCTCCTCAGCAGTGCTCTTAGCTCCTCCTGGAGCTCCCGTGGCGTTCCCCAGCCGGGATATATAATCCTCCTACAGGTCTCCTCCAGGTTGGACGTACCTGCTGAAGCCAACACAACATCATTCCTCTGCAGCTGTTATTTAAAAAAAAGAGTCAAAGAGTAGAATAGTTTATTTTTATTGATAATCGGACGTGGGAGGACGGACTACGAGTTGGCGAGCGTTTCACTTTGAAACACGTCACAAACAGACGCAGCGTTTCAGTCACAGTGAAGATTTCTTTAAATCTTTGTCCCCTTCTAATCACAGTTGAACGTCGAGGCTCTCCCGGACGATGCATTCAAGGACAGTCAGACATCCAGAATATTAACATAGATGACATGAAAACATCACGTGACAAACAGTTAGGGAACAAAAAAGTCAAGAACAGGAAGAGAGGGTCTTTTTAAGGGTCAATGATATTTCTCAGTTTCATTTGTGCTCATTTTTATTTCATGAATCTCGTAGCTTTGTGGTTCTCCAGAGTTCTCATTTTATCCCCAGAAATCATTCAGATATATTTCTGTTTTGTTGGCGATTGAAAAGTAAAAAAAATAAAACGTTAAAAATGCACTTTGTCATTTCAAGGTTTGTGCTGCAGGAACAGCGGAGCTGGGTTTAAAGTGCTGACATTAAAGGGATTTAAAGTCTGTCACTAACACGGCCGTCTCCTGGACCCGGTGGTTCAAAAGGTTTAATCCAGATACACATGATCCAGATTTGGTTATCCAAAGGATCTTGTAATCCAGCTCAATGTAGACCCATTTCCACCAAACAGTCCGGTTCAGTTCAGTTCATTACGCATTTATCCACCGTCATCAGTTGACGTGGTACCAAAATAACCAATCAGTACTGTCCTACTTTTTTAATACCCTTCTGTTGGGGTGCAAAGCGTACCGTTCCGACCCTAAAGCTAGACTCACTGCAGTCCGTCCATTAGGGGAAAGAATCATCCCTGCCCGTGCAGCAGCGGTAATAAACGACAAACACCAAACGCACCATGTTCAGATATTAGAGAGAAACTTCAAGGCTGTTCTTCTTCCTAGGAATGATTGATCTTAGTTCACTGTCACATTCTACTCTCTAGTCTCGCTGCTGTGATTTAGTTATGTGTAAGGGGACGGTTGGCTGTGGAAACGCAGGCAAGATCGGGGTCTACTGAACCAAACTGTACCGAAACAAAACTGACTGCTTGGTAGAAACGGGGATTTAGATCCTGGTTGTTCAGCATCTGATCCAGGGACAGACTTTTAAGGATCACCAAATGTTTTAAAGGAAGAACGTGCGACTTTTTGATCCAGTAGATGTCGCCCTTGAGCACCTGCATGAAACCAAATCAAGCCTGTTTAGCCACAACTCATCCATATTGAAGCCTCCGTTATCCTGCAGCGACACACCAGCAACCCCCTCCCCTTGGATTCGCCTGAAGGAGTCAATCACAAACAGCGGACAAAATTGTCCTTGGCTTAAGTTGCCTGATTTGTTGTGTTAGCAGGCTAATGGTAGCGCTCTTAAGTTAGCTTTTAACTTCACGATGCATGTAATGTGATCTAAAACACCTACATGCTGTCCAAATAAGCAAGAGTATGTTCTTCTTTTCTTTTGTCCTTAACTAAAATAGATTTGTGGCCCCCTCCTCGCTAGAGTCGATGTTAATGCAGGTTGCCATGTGGTGGACACTGAAGCTTCATTGTTTATCCAGCTCTGCATCGGTCTGTAAACCTTTCTGCATTCTAAACTCTCTCCATTTTTCAAAAGCATCTTCAATATTGATCCTAGTTTGAGGTCGGGTACAATCACTTCTATCTGAACCAGTTCTATTGCCCGCTTCCATCGCTGCAACACCTGTTGGTTTGACATGATAACTGCTCTCATATCTGGCAAACCGAGGGGCGTCCAAAACAGCCGTGTGGGGGTGCCTTAAAACCGCCTACCTTCTCTGGTCCAAACAAATCCAGAGCATTCAGGAGCAGAATCTAAAGTTAGAAGGACATACTGTCTGCTGCATTGTTGTCAGAGAAGCCAGCACTTCAACATGTTTCCTTAATGTCTGATCATATAGTAAGGTCACTTTATCATTTCACTACACATCTCACTGACTGGACCTTTAAACATTAAAAAGTTAAGAATCATGTTCAATTTACTTTCGCTTTACTACCACAATTATGACTCAGACAGAAACAAATTCAGACTAATACTATAGGTGTATTTAAGGTTCCCTTCCTCCATCCGGGTCATGGGTAGTCAGTCCCACTTTTCCCTCGACTTCTACGTCCATGGTCACAACAACACGACTCGTGAAGAAACGAAAAACAGCAACAGCAAGAAATTCTGCTGATGTTGACCAAGGAAAGACATCTGACGCTGCTAAGTGCTAACAGCTTACGCTAAAATAAACAGCCTGAAACGTGTCTATTACTAATGTTGGAAAATGATACAGGGAAGTATATAAATATTATATACATCATATTTGTATCCTCGTTAGTTCAGCACAACAGTTGCAGTAATATTAAAGTTGTTATGTGCAGATCTGGTTTAGATGAACCTCAGATGTTCTGACGGTCCCTGCAGCCCTGCAGTCTCTCTCTGTTAGAACGCTGTGGACGGGAGTGTGGGCTGACGACTGTTTGACATCACGCTGTCTTTGTCGTCCTTACACTCTGTCAGGAACTCGTCTGGAGACATATCGACTTTGGACCAGCTCTCCTCTGACTCTGCGGCGATCTCCTCTCCTCGCTCCTCCTTCCACAACCGCTCGTACTCCTGCTTCAGCTCCTGGTATGAGCGGGAGAAGGTGTGGAAGATGGAGGTGGCGGGGAACGCCATGATGAGGATGCCGCTCAGGATGCTGGTCATGGCGACGATCTGTCCGGGGATGCTGCGCGGCACCATGTCGCCGTATCCCACCGTAGTCATGGAGATGATTGCCCACCAGTAGGAGGCGGGGATGCTGCTGAAGCTGTGTTGAGGGTGGGTGGCGGCGAATGGTGCCAGCTCGCTCTCTGCGAGGTGAACCAGAGGTGAGAAGAGGGTGACGGCGACGCAGACGAAGAGCAGCAGCAGGCCAAACTCGCGGATGCTGCGCTGCATCGTCATTCCGAGCGTCTGCAGGCCCAGAGAGTGGCGAGCAAGACGCATCACGTACAAGATCCTCAACGCCCGCAGCAAGCGCAGGATCAAACTCAGCTTGTCCAGGTATCCTCTGCCCGCCCCCATGATGACATCCTCCTCTGACTCGTCTTTGATGTCGAACACCAGCGACACGTAGTACGGCAGGATGGCGATGGCGTCAATGATGTTGAGCGGGCCTCGGGCGAACGCCAGCTTGCTCTTAGCGTTGAAGAATCGTAGCACAAACTCCAGAGTGAACCACGCCACGCAGATGGACTCCACCACGAACATGCTGCGACACTTCTGGGAGCACTCGCCCTGCAAAGACACACACACACACACACACACACACACACACACACAAACACACACACACACACACACACACACACGATTAATCGTCATGTGTAAATCTGTAGTAAGAGTTTAGAATAAGATTTGAACGTTAACCCACACAGAGAAAGTAAGTGATCTGTCAGCGTCATACGCACCTTGGTCTCTTCATCCCGGAGGTCTGGCATGGTGCTGATGCACAGACTGATGACGGTGACCATCACCATGACGACAGAGAGGCAGGCGAACACCTTCCCGGCCAATCCTGACTGAGGGTTTTCCACCACCTCTCGTAGCTTCACGGTCAATCTACGATATCCCTTCTCGCTCTGCTTGGTGTTTTTCTTCAGCATCATCCTCTTCTGCCTCCACTCCTCTTCCTTGCGCTCTCGCTCGGCCACCTCTTCCACGCGGGTGATCATGCGACGGCGGCAGCAGCGCTCCATGTGACCCGGGTCCACGCCCCAGTAGTCGAGCTCATCGTGCAGCGACACGGCGCAAAGCTCTCGAAGTAGCCGTAGTTTCCCTGCAGCTAGGAAGTTGAGGATGACTCTGAAAGCTGTCGGGTTTCGGTCAAAGAAGAACTCCTGGCACGTCTCGTCGTAGTCGTCGCAGAGCCGTGCGATCTCCTCCGGGGTGGTGCAGAAGCGCAGACGTCCCAAACGACTCTGGGGAAACTGCTCCAAGGTGCTCCAGGGGAAGGTGTAGCGGTTTCCACCGACATTGATAAGGACCTGAAGGGTGTGGTCCACCACGTATGAAGCCTTGGGGTCTCGAAGCAGCTGAGCGCGCTTGAAGTATACACCTTTGATTGTTTCGGTCTCTGGGATCTCAGTGAAGAAGCGATCGAGGCTGCTGTCGTCGCTGCTGATGGAGTAGGTGCTGAAGTCATGATTAGCGTTACTGATGATGGGCATGCTGGCTGCAGGATGTGTAACGGGATGAAAGACGTACGTGTTTGTCCAGGCTTGTCAGGGGGAGGAGCCACAATGATGCTGGAGTGACAAAAAAATTAATCAGTTTCTTTTCTACAACACAAATTCCAGAATTCAAATCCTTTGAGTAAAAGATCCACAAAGTTTTAGAGTTTTAACATTTAAGATCGCAGATAAAACACAGTGCTGACTTTCATTGCTATGCCGACGACACCGAGCTCTACTTCACTGATATCAATGAGCTGAATCCATCATGTACCTCTGACATCATTTTATGTTTGCTGCAAATATTCTTATCTATCAACTCTTTGTTAATGAACCATTAGAGCAAAAGTTTACTGCTATATGGTTGTCACCACACCAGAATTTTAAACATTGATATGGTTTTGGTAAGGATCACTGAAGAAACATTACTACAACCCTGTCCCACCAATCACGTCTGCATGTCTCCACCCATTGCTCCCTTGTCCTACGCGGTGGCAGTGACAGGCTGACAGCAGTCAGAGCTAAACACATAAACACAGTACCGACTTTCATCGCTATGCAGACGACACTCAGCTCTACTTCACTGAGACTAGAAAAGTCTAGACAAGTCCATTTACCATAACCAAGTCCATGATCTAAATGAGCAGACTTCATCTTGTAACTGTTGCATAAGAGCAACAGTTTACTGCAATATGGTTGTCACCACACCAGAATTTGAAACGTTGATATGATTCTAGTAAAAATCAAACGATATCCACAGCAACAAAAATAGAAGCAGCAAAGATAGAAGTCAAAGGCACACAATATGGGATAATTAATTGTTTTTAATTATCGCAAACATTGAAGCAAACTCCTGCACATTGTCTAAACTGCAGAGAACATCGGCAACGTTTCAGTTCCCAACGATCATACGTAACTCTTAAAAAGCGACCAGAGAATCATCAGTTTAGGCCACAACAATCAGAAAAACAGCCGTGAAATCCTGCAGGGATTACTACGATGATAACCATTTAAAGAAATATTTGATAGAACCACATTTGTTCCAATGAGCTTTCACATGAAGAAAAACATTCATGATTCACTGAAAACAAAAGACCAAATGTCGGCGCCCTTCTTTAAGACCTGACACCTGACCAGACACCTTTCGTGAGGCGGCTTCTCGCCAATTCACGCCTGGAGTCGTGTGACTCTCAAAGACTCCGTGACCTTAAAAAAACCTTCAAGGTGTGAATGCCCGGACAAGTTCAGATGTCTGAGAACACGACAGAGGGATCTGCTCTCACTGTGAAAGCTTCCAGTGGATTGATTCTTTAAAACCATAAATCTTTAAACATATCTGAACGTGAACAGATTTGTGCAGAGACACTGTCAGATTAAAGGGCAGAGTCATTTACATAAAACACTTTTTCTCTCTCCTCTGCTGGTATCTAACACCTGCAGAAAGGTTTGATTTGTGCTTTGATTGATTGATTTTATTCAGAGAAGGCAAAGCAACATCTCTGTCCAGAGAACGTGTTACCTCAGTGTGAACACATCTTAAAGCTTAAAAAACATCCTGCAGAAGATTCTGGAGCTTCGGTTAAACTGACTTTAGGAGGAGATGGTGGTTTGTAAAAATCATTCTTTAACAGTAAAGCTGAACTGAGTGCACCTACAGGTCCAATCAGTGAGATGTGTAGAGACTGAAATGATAAAGTGACCTTACTATATGATAAGACATTAAGGAAACCTGCTTTGTTAAAGTGCTGATATGCGACCAGTTACAGGTCAAACCAACAGGTGTTGCAGCGATGGAAGCGGGCGAGAGAACTGGTTCAGATAGAAGCGATTGTACCCGACCTAAAAAGTCTCTGCATGTTTCTAATAAGCTCCACGAGCAGAAACGTGCTCAAACTAGGATCAATATTGGAGATGCTTTTGAAAAATGGAGAGAGGTTAGAACACAGAAAGGTTTACAGACCCATGCAGAGCTGGATAAACACTGAAGCTTCAGTGTCCACAACATGGCAACCTGTGTGAGCATTGACTCTAGAGAGGAGGGGGTTGGTGGAGACAGCTCTCTACAATATTTAGAATTTGGACTGCAGTACCCATTTTAAACACTAGGGGTCAGGGTTACATATTGCTCCTTTAAAGCAGCTTTACAACACTAAATATCCTCTTAAAGTTTGATCTCTTCTGAGAGGAAGCTAGGATTTACAGCTCAGACATTATGTAATTCATAATACTTCGAGAATAAGGTCATCCACCCGAATTAGACTGACACACGAAGAAAATAAATAATAATAAAACCATCTATGCCACTTCATATCACAAGACATTATGTGTCCGCTGGTTTTTTGATAAGATTACTCTTTTATTCTGTTGATTAGGGTTGCTAAAATGTTCAATACTTTGATAGTTTTCAATATCTGACAGATGTTCACAAACCCAGCAGTCTGAGGTCGGTTCAGCACTGATTTAACTTTAGATTCCTTTAACCCCATCGGGACATCTGACCCAGCGTCGGTGTCATGCTGATAAATTTAAACGGTTTACTCAGGGGGGAAAGCAGTCAGCAGAACGCTTTTCATCCAGTGACCTAAAATGTAAAAATATACCAAACATTCAGTTCAAACTCCTCGACTTCACACTTTAATCGGGTGGTTTTATAGGTCAAGACTCATAAACAGATTATTAAATATGTTGCACAGATAAATACTAAAGTCGGAGCAGTGAAGTGAAAATAATCAGCCCCGCTCAGTAAACTCATTTAAACTCCTGATGATGAATTATTCTTCTGAAACAGACAGAGGTCATGCTGCTACCTCACTTCTTCTACTCGACAAACGACATGTAGGAAGTGCGTTTGTGCACCTTCAGGACCTTGGAAACATAAAAACGGTTTGACTGTTGCTGAGGTTCGTAATTGGAGGAAGCAGACTTTTTTTTTTGTCGAATTAGAAGTTGGAGTCAAACGTCATAGTTCTGTGAACTCCTCCCCCTCATCGACAACGTGCATATGCATATATATCAGGGCGACGAAAGGCGACAAAGACGTCGTGAGACATTCAAGGACCACGTCAACTGTCAAGGTTCAGGAAAGTTACTGATCAATTCTGACTGTTCTAGCATCTACAGCCCGTTGTTAGCTAACTGTTAGCATGTCTATTCATCTGTTACCATGACAACTACAAGCTGTGGCTAAATGTCTACATTAGAGGATCATTTATAACATGCTAGTTGAGAGAGGGTTGTAAGATTTGAGACGTCTGAAGCTAACTTGAAGATGGACGAGGAGAGAGACGACTTTTTGGTGTCAGATGGATTTATTGATTTCTTCGTATCAAACCTGAGTTGCTAAACTGCTAAACATGAGACAACGATGACAACACTAACGATACAAGCTTACGTTACGTCTCAATCTGTTCTGAATAATATCTGCAGGGATGAACACTCTGCTTCTCTCTCTCTCTCTCTCTCTCTCAGTCGTTGTGTCAAACAGTACAGAGACGGGCTAACTGGCTGCCTTTTAGCTGAAGGCTGCTGTGTGAACTAGCGCCGTAAAGACGATCGCACTTCTCACCAGATGACCTTGACCTGCTGACAAAGTTACATAGTGCTGAAAACAGGCAAGCAGGGCGCTCTGTGGACACGAGAGAGACGCCATTCTCCCTGAGGACGGGCTGACGTGGAAATCAGCAGGAACAAAGAAGTCAAAGTAATCGTACAGCAGGGGAGATGTTCTCTGCTCCAGCTGAAACATGAACTTTATTTATAAACACAAGAAGCAGCTTTAATGACGCAGAGAGCCAGAATGTAATTACGATGAGATTATGATCACTCATCGTGTAGCGATGGAGTGTTAGCTCTTACGCTCCTCACTGGGGATCAATATCACAGACCTGACTCTGACCTTTATATATATCATGTGTTATTCTTTATTTGTTGTTGTTGTGTTATTATTAGTGTTAATGCATTAACTTTAAAGATGCATCCTGTAAAGATGGGATCATTTTAATGAAGTCGTTTCCTGCAGCAGCTCGTGATTTTCTCCCCGGGGATCAACAACAGCGCTCGCCTCAGTCTGACTGTGACCTCATGTTTCATTCATTATTTGTTGAGGTTTATATTATTAATCAGAATGTGCAGATCTCCATCAAGGGCTTCTATATGTGTTGCTGTGGTAACCAACAGGTTTAATTTTCACTTCAACGTACACAGTCTGATACAGCAGGTGGCAGTATGCACATAGTTGGTTTGCAAATCCCCCAAAAGCAAAAGTGTGCTCAAACAGTCTGTTTGGAGATTTTACCTTCATGACATCACAAATGGCAGTAACCCCTCCCCCAGGTGGGTGACACTCCCACAGCTAGGTGTTTGTTCTGCCCTCTGAGTCTGCCTTCTCACTGTAAACAATAGGACATGGAGCGAGAAAGCCTGAGACACCCAAGCCCCCCCCAGAGAGGGGGCGTGGTCAGACACAGCTCATTTACATATTTAAAGGTACAGACACAGAAACAGCCTGTTCTGATCAGGGCTGAAATAGAGGGGTTTATAGACATGATCAAATACAGGATCAGAGTGGATTTAGAACAAGAAACTTCACACACATGTTTTGAGGAGCTCTGAGACTTATTTACACTGGTTGAAGAGGAGGAGGATATGTGACCTTTATTACAAGTTTGTAAAGTGTCTATCTTTTGCAGAGCAGGTTAAATCATGGGAAAGACTCAAAGTACAGAGGGACGTGTCAGGCAGAGCTTAGCTCGCCTTGCAGCTACAGCTCTAACTCCAGGTGTTCTGGGGCCGCTCCGAAAGGACGCCCTGCTCAGCCGTCTCCTCCCAGGTGTCAAAACCCTGACTGGACTCGCTTTCATCTCCTAGCTGTCCCGCTAGTTGACTCACATAAAAGAACTACGAGCCCAGGAAGCCTTTTAGATTTTCAGCTCGGGGTTACCTCGTTGTCCCGCCAAGAAGATCAAAAGCGTGTGGAGCAGCTTTGAGCTTCTACACCTCACATACATGGAAAAGGTGGAATGACCTACCGAACATAATCAGAGCGCCCAGACACTTAACTATTTTCAAAAGAGACTTCAGACATTTATTTTTGCTGCTGTTTTTCATCAGTTTGATCAACCTGCAAGTCTTTTATTGTTCTTCTGCAGGTTAAGCTCCTGTGTGTGTTTTAATAAACTGTAAATTCG